GGCCATGTTCTCCAGACTTGTTCCTCAAAATAAAGACATTTATGATGCCCTTGTGGACTTTGTATATAAGATTAATATTCTCAGTTAACAGTGCGCCCGGGGGTCTCCCCAGTGTTGTAGTCAATGGTACCGCTGCTGTTTGGTTAACTGGTTACTTTGTTCAGCGGTTTCTGTGGCATCAATTACGATAGGATTCTCTAATTCTATGGATCATTTTGTTGCATACTGTTCTTCACTTTACACATTTTATGGGCTTAACTCCATGTGTATTAAGCCATTTGTACAGTTCTGTAAGTTGTCATGTACTCCTGAATATTTTATATATACTCGATGGTCGTATTGCTAGTTATCTGATTAGCAGCACTGCTTAAGATTGTTGTTTGGGGTTCGTATTTACAGTCCTATCAGCCCCATGTGATCCCCCAACCACTTTTCTTCCTTCCTTTCTTCTTTCTTTCGTTCCTTTCCCTTCCCTCTCCTCCCCTTCCCTCCCTTCTCTCCTTCTACTTTCTGGGCTATGCTGAAAAGCGAGGACGTCAACACTGTAACTCTAACTGTAAGTGTATCATTGGCTTTCTGTACACATTTTCCAGGCAAATTCCTTTGTAGGGTGTCTTTGCGTTGAAAATTTCTAAACAGCCATTTATAATATTAATTAATTAATTAATGAACTTGGCTCTCGATTAATAATCCAAAGTACTATGCTTTTTCCTAATTCTCGCTTGCCTTCAGAAATAAATTTATTAAAAATTTTCAATACTAGGGCAACATTTCAACAGTGTAAAAACTTGAAATCGCTAAAGCATGGCATTATTTGAAATATTTTTTACAATTACCAATTTACTTTATCAATTACCATTATACATCAATGTTTTGTTTATGGTGTATTTGTTGTATTGTAAATCATTGCTCGTCTCTTTGTTAATATAATCGCGTGTTCTCGGGATGCTGCCCAAAGTTTTGAAAAAACTGTAGATCTACAAAGATAATTATTTTTATTTACTTGTGCTCAACACGATACGATAAGAGTCAAAAATATTTATATTTTTCCTATAATGTTAGGTTTATTGTGTATCGTATTTTACGGCATGTAAGATGCTAGATTTTTTTAAATAAGGGCTTATATGTGAAGGCGCAATCTTCCATAGAAAAATTAATGTACCAAATGGCTTTTATTAGGCAGCATATATCCACTACCTTAGACTTACTCCGGAATAAAAATCTTATATTATTGGTTTATCTACAATTAAGCATCTCTTATATGCATTCAGGAATGGCAAATTTTAACTGTAAAAAATATAGCCTATATTTTTAAACTTATCTTTTCCTCTGATAAATAAAGGAGTGCATACCAAGTTTACAGTTTTACTTTTTTCATACAGAATACAATACAAACATCTCGTTCTGAATGCCAAAAGTCTAGGATGGTTTAAATGCAATAAATACTTTATCGTTAATGTTAGCTGCTAAAATGAAGTTGCCTATTAAATCGTGTATAATACGGTATATAATACCATTTTAAAATGCTATGTTTCTTCACATTTCAACAAATAAAAATTATTTATTCCTTGCATATAAAAATTATAAAGTATTATTATTATAACAAACTTCGTTTATTCTTTTTCCTTCTTTTGTAAACTGTTGTATATTATAGATAATAATATACAATAGTCATTTCGTTTTCTGATTGGTAATAACAAACCAAAACGATTATATTATTGTTATTTTTTGTGTAGGATCTTGATTCATCTTTAAATCATACAACTTTGGTCAGGAACACCATGGCTACAACGACAGAAAACAGAAACGTATCAATTGAAGTTGAGGTAAGAATTATATTTATTATTTGAAATCACTATGTTAAAGACACTACAAATTTTAGCTGAACAAACATACGGAATAGCCTCACTACTAAATAATGGTGCTCGCTGTATCAGTTTTCCCATTGAATATGCGTGTTATATCTGCACGCAAGTCCTGAGGCTATCGGAGATTAGTCGCGCGTTTTACACACACGCTGTCTATTGGTGGAGAGAATAAAAACTACAACTTGCGATTTTTCTACATTCGTAAAAAGGTTTTTGCCGCTTTTTCACTAAAGAAAATTTGAAAGTGACTAACAATGAAAATACGCGTGTAACCTTTATAAAAAATTACAGAACAGGTTGATGGTCTAATAAATTACAATACTTAATAGTTGATCTTCTATTTTCGTAACGTATACACGAGTAATTTCATACCAATCTTTCTAAAACGTTAATCAATCGAAATAAGTGTATAAAATAAATTTTCATATAATGGGATATATTCTGTATCTCTTTCTGCACCATTTTTCATTTATTTCAGCAATTATATTTTTAATTGACAAGAAAATAACTAATAGATAAAACTTTTCATTCGTCATGTGAAGACGTGAGAAGATTATTGATATATTTATTATTGTTTATAACAACGGGAAAGTAACATAATTTTGGTGATACCTCGTTTAGAATCATTAGAATGGATATATTCAATCAGTAGAAATACACTTTAAATGTTAACATTATGTGAATGTATTTGGATGTAAATATTTTTTCGATTTTCTAAGTATTCAAAAAATATTCTTACAATTGTAGTTAGTATATTGTTGCAAGAAGAGTCTTCTTTATCTTCGTCTTTTCCTATGTTTATATGAGGTCGGCGTTTCCTTCTCTAATACATTTCCTTCATTTCTCTCTATCAATTGCTTCTCTCTTAAGTCCTTTCTGATTCAAGTCTTCCTCCACCTTATCTTTCTTGGTCTTCCTTTTTTCCTCTTCAATTTTACTACCAGTTTTCCGACCGTCTCTTCTCTCTACGCGGTCAAATCACCTCAACCTACATTCTTGCACCTTCCTGATGAACTTAACAGAATCTCTAACAAAATCTTTCCTTATTCTATCCTTCCTTGAAACTCCACACATCCATTTCATCATTCTCATCTCTGCCAAATCCATTTTTCTTTCTTCGGGTGTTGTGATGTCTTAGCCCCATATAATATTGCAGGGCTAACAATCGATTTTTACAATTTACCTTTCAGCTTACGGCTAACTTTCTTGTCACATAACACACCGCTCACTTTCCTTCAGTTCATCCATCCATATTGAATTCTATGCTGCACTTCCGAGTTTAATCCTCTCATATCTTGACAAACGCTCCAAGATACTTAAAACTCGAAACCGAAGGGAGCGGCACATTTTGATTTTACATTTGCACTCGTCCCTACCATTTAGAGTCATGTATGCTGTTATAGTTCTGCTGAACCTCATGCCCCTTTCTTCCAAAACTTTCCTCCAATCTTCCAGTTTGTTTTCAGCCTTGGTTTGGGAAGGTGAACAACGCTCAATATCATCAGCAAATAGCATACTCCACGGCGCCTCACACTTTACGTCACACACCATATCAAACAGATACGGGCTAAGGGCAAACCCTGATGTAAACCAACATTAACGGAAAACCCTTTTGTAGTGTCCACACTATTCTTAATTTGAATTTCCGCTCCCTCGTAAATATCCTTCACCAGCCTAACATATTTTTATGGAACATTGTTTTTTCTTATACATCTCCATATTTCTTGCGTCGGTATCAAATCATACGCCTTTTCCAGATCTATGAACACCATGTGCTAATCTTCCTGTATTTCCCTGTGCCTTTCCATTAGCTGTTTCAAAGCAAAGATAGAATCAGTCATACCCCTTCCCGGCATAAAGCCAAACTATTTCTGTCTATTTTTTTTTTTTCGACAATTCTCTCCCAATTGTAGCAAGAAGAGTAATAACGTTAAAATCGTGTTAAATTTGACCATCCGAACATTTTGCAAATTTTCACGTTTTCAGACCCCGTGAATCCAAAAATAAAAATCAAACACTACAGAAAACTTAGTGGACATGCATGCATGTATGTTTGCGTGAATGTATAGGCGTTTGTGTTTGTGTATTGGCTCTATTTTGCTGAATATATTAGGATTGGGTAAAGATTTTATGAAACGAAATTTGGCATGATATATGAGGGCATCAATGCTATTAAATTTTATTCGAGGTAGTCGGAAAATAACGGAAATAAAGGAGGTCGTGTGTATCTTCAGTAGGGTCAGACTTAATGTCGATTTTATCCGTTATTAGCATTTATTCTTTTTCTAAATAAAGCTTTTTTGCCATTTTATACTAATTAAAAATATAAAAAGTTTTTTATAACAAGGTCTATAAACATAAGGTTTTTTATTAAGAAAATTTTAAAACTTATAATGGTTCAAAATACTCACTCAGCTGTTGAAATTCCTGTATNGTCGATTTTATCCGTTATTAGCATTTATTCTTTTTCTAAATAAAGCTTTTTTGCCATTTTATACTAATTAAAAATATAAAAAGTTTTTTATAACAAGGTCTATAAACATAAGGTCAATACTCGATACCCGTGAACCTCGCAGCAGTCGCATATTGAGTTTTTTCTGTGTGTACGTTGTTTCTTGAAAAGCTAATTGTTTGCCTCATTCGATTGCAATTAGTTGGATATCTTTTACGTATATACATTTTAAAATAGTTTCATATTAGCACCGAATTGTAAAAATTTGACAGCCAAAGGTATAAGATGTTTTGCTATCCATCTGACAGATCCAGGAGAGTGATGATCATGTGTCAGAGTAACCTTTAAATGAAAAGATACTCTATTTGAAATTTTAAAAGGAATTCTACGTTCGAACTCGAAGTCTACACAGCATGAAATCTATACCGTGATACTGGAACTGCGGTCTCAATATGGCGACTGCCACGATGCATCACGATATCTTGTACTGACCTTATGATTATAGGTTATGTATTATAATTAAAATTATGAAATTTATTTTCTAAATAAGTTCTCATAATAGTCGGAAAAGTTATGCAACCGTTGCTGGATTGTTTTCATAGGAAACGGCGAAAGAATTTCAAGACTTTACAGACCTTGTCGGTACATTTGGAAGATGGCAGAAAATTTTAATCGGGGTAATGGTGTGGTCTTGCATTGGTCCAGCATTAAACAATTTAAATTGGCCCTTCTTGGCGTACAAGGTAGATTATTGGTGCGCGAGAACACCGAAATACATTAACTTGTCTGTGGAAGAGTGGAAGAATATCAGCGCACCTCTGGACTTCAAAAACGGGAGAACAACGCATAGTCGATGTGAAGTATACGATATTGACGATACCGAATATAAAAAGAACTTTTCAAAGATTCCTTGTCGCTCGTGGGAATACGATCGTTCACAATATAAAAACAGTGTCATTGAAAAGGTAACAATAAAACTTTTCTATTAAATATGTATTCGATGATTGATTTATTTGAATTTTCAGTGGAATTTAGTTTGCGAAAGTTCTTGGTTGAGTTCTCTCGCTGGATCTTCTTACTTCGTGGGATTCTTCGTATCCGGTATTGTATCTGGTCAGATATCCGATAGGTATGAAAACCTGCCATTTTTATTTCATTGAAATGTTATACTGTAATTTTATCACAGAGTATTAAATATATCGATGTTTACGTAGATATGGCAGAAGACCAGTGATAATATGGAGTGTCGTGCTTCATATAACCTTTGGGACTCTTTGTTCATTTTCTCCATATTACTGGATGTTTACTCTATCTCGTTTCTTCTTGTCTGCAGGAAACACAGCCTGTAGTCTAACGTTTTATGTATATGGTAAGTCGTATATTGAATTCATACGATGAATAAAATAGCAACGTACTTTGGCAATGTTCACATATAGACTACAATATAGAGTAAATTTCCTAAATGTTTACATTAAAAACGTAAAAATAACAATCATAGTGACATACTTAGTGTATTTTAATTTGTTATAATTACGAAAAATTAGAAAACGCTATTAATTAATACACATGGATGCATTAAAGAATAGTTGAATTGTTTGTATCAGAATACTTAAATATAAAAATTCTCTGGCTTCAATACAAGGAAAATCTCATATTTTCGAACAAGTGTGTAAAGTTAACTTTATGCGGATCTTTCTTAATATATTATTTTTTCGTAAAAAAAAAGGGGCTGGCGGAAATTCCATTCTATAAATAAAGTAAACATGGCATGGACATGGCGAGCAAGCAAGATACGACTAGTATTTGTAATGTAATTTTACTTTATTTATAATATATTGTGTTAAGTTTGTGTCATTCGACTGAAACATGGATATTTAATGCAGATTTCCCATGAAGTGAATACGCAATTACTATGGACAAATCATATGCAAATTTGAGAGTGAATATTTATATTTAAGTTCAAATTTCAGACTCAAAGTTTTTTGTAAATATTAATATAATGTTAACAATACTAAATTATCTTTCTATATAGTTATGGAAGTGGTCGGACCAAGCTACAGAGAAAAAGTAATGGTAATTCAGTCTTTTTTTTATACCACGGGGACGCTTCTACTTACCGGAGTATCTTGGTTCCTCAAAGATTGGACTTATATTCAATTATGCGGCATTTTGCCATCTATTATAATACTCCTGCTCATCAGGTAACGTTCACTTAATATTTTAATTGTTTTTATATGTTATGAAAATATATTTTGGATTAGTTATATACCGGAGTCTCCGAGATGGCTGCTAACTCACGGTCGACTACGTAAAGCCGAAGACGTTATAAGAAACATAATGAAAAAGAATAAAAGACACACCGACGATTTATCCGAAATTATTGAAGAACTTTATTGGAAAATTAGAACGGTAAACTGATTTTAATAATACATAACTTGACCTTTTTGAATGACAATGATTTGAAATAATAGAATTGTGATTTCAAAATATTTGTAAAAAATCATTTGATTGAAGTGATTTGAAAAGTCTGTTGAATTTTAAAAATAAAATCAGTTTTTGTTTGGAAATGGAACAGAAAATGAGACGTAAGGAATGGCAGAGGAGGTTGAGGCGTAAGCCTGTAGTTCTGGGTGACTGTACATTAAAAAATACAGGTTTTGTTCCAGAAATGATCTGTTTCGGATGTGTTGTGTCCTTTACCATACCTCTTCTTCCTCCCGTTCTGATGACCAATAATGAATTAGAATAAACGTCTTTCTTAGTGACCACACATTGAAGTGCCATAATAGAACATAAAATGTATAAAAACTAGTGATGTAACGAATATTCGGTTACTATTCGGTATTCGGCCTATTCGGCCTATTTTTCACTATTCGGCCGAATACCGAATATTTAATCACTATTCGGCCGAATACCGAATATTTAATCACTATTCGGCCGAATACCGAATACCTAAAAACAGGAGTAATAAATAACAAAAACACAGTAAATTAATCATTTTGGTATTTAGAGTTAATATTATAGAGTTAGTGTTGTTTGTTTATATTTATTTATAACTTGTAACATGCACAAAATAAATGAAAAAATAATATTAGTCACATGTATCACAATTTATAATTACAAAGATCAGCACACGCACACGTCTATCGTTGGAGAATCCTCGCACATCTGAGGGTCTGACCCTGCCTATCCTTCTTTTTAAGCGCTCGTCTTTGCTCTTCCCTTTCTCTTTCCTCTATCGCTCTAATCCATGTATGCCTGTGCATACATCATAATACGCGCTCACGATACTTTCGATTCGTCACTTTTCCGTCGTAGAGTTCCCATTTTACAATTACGTGACTCAGCCTGGTGATAACGGAGAAAAGAGACAGATAGGACGTCGATATAAGTCACAGTTATGATTTCACAGATTCGAGACAGCTTGATAGCCCGAACGGCCCCAGGCTTTCGCCCGTGCACGCTAAGTGACTTTCATTACAAGCATTTAGCTTTCCGAAGTCTATGACAACAATTGTTTGGCATTGACGGCCGCGAATTTCGTGCCAATAAGCTGCCTCGACTTGTTCGATTATGTTATCGACTCAATTTCATATGTATTTTTACATTTTCACTTCGCGGTTCTTCTCCCTTCTTTTTCCGTTATTTACACGTGTAGGTCATTTCATTGTTATCCACATTTGATATCATTTATCACATACTTCCATGACACTCTTGTCTGTCCGCTACAACTCCCAAGAATTAACGCGATTGGCGAAGCGTAGTGACAGCGAGCCAATAGAGAGCAGGATCTTTGCCATAATACGGTTTGCGCGCCAATTTTCGTACGTGCGTTAATCAAGCCGAATAGTTTGGCCGAATATTCGGCCAAACTATTCGGCTTGATTAACGCACCTACTTCGGAAAGCTAAATGCTTATTTCGGCCACGCTCCTGGCCGAATATTCGGTATTCGGGCTGAGGCCGAATATACTATTCGTTACAACACTAATAAAAACATTTCTAATACGTTTCTGTCTGCTGTACAAATTAAACGGAAACTGTATCTGAGGGCTTTAATTAATTTCTCATAGACGTCTCGGGAGGACAATGGTTTAAATTAGGGTGAATACTAGCTAGGCCTATATTTTTAAATATTTTTAAAAAATTAAAATTTTTATTGCGATTTCCGACCCCTCCTAATTAATTAAATTTATATATAATAAAATCTATTAATTAAAAAAATTAAGAAACTATCGGAGGTCGTTTTTGACATCAGAAACTAGCTTTAAATAACTTTACCAAAGGAAAATCCATTCACTACAACTTTAGAACGATGAATTAATTTGATAAAAAATCGCATTAAAAAACAATCAAGCCTTAATTGAGCCTTATCAAAGGCTCATTAAAATCGCGATAAAATTTTTTTGCGCGGGAAAAAATTTTGAAAAAATTTGGGGACCTAAAAAACATTCCAAAAATTGAAAAAAAGAAAATTTTCAAAGATACCCTTAACGACCAAGTTTTATGTAACGCTATGTAACTTACTCGAGACTCTCTCGAGCGTGAGTACGAAGGTGGCACTTATGCTTGGTTATTAATTAATTAAAAACTCAGAGTTATACAATATAAAAATCGATCACATTTATCTCCCGTCTATTAATAAAATAGGAATGTTAATCTCAATATCCGGTGTGGTAGCTGATGAATACGTAGATTTATTATATGTCTCTTTAATCCGAATTAGTAAAAAAGGAAGACTTTGTCTCATCTATAAGGGTAGGTACTTCTTTATTGCAAATCACAAATGCATTTCGGGCCTCTATGAGCCCCTTGTCAGAGAAAATGCTACACATATAAAGCATAAAAAGAAAAAATTATGTGTAGCTGAACAGGGGCTAATATAGGCCCGAAATGCATTTGTGATTTGCAATAAAGAAGTACTTAACCTTATAGCTGAGAGAAAGTCTACCGTTTTTACTAATTCGAATTAAACAGATATGTACTAAATCCAGGAATGTTAATTGTATCAATAATTCGATATTTTTTAATAATTGTGCATCGCCTCGAAAGCAGAAAAACTAAATTATTTCAGAGGTATAATAATGATGTACTGTAATTCAGTTCGACTCATATCCATTCGCTCAATTTTTTCAGCTGTTTTTGTCAAATTAATCGCCTTATAAAGAACAGTTACTTTTGTACGTACCTTGTCAAAACTAAAAGTTTTGATACATTTCTTGTAATCTTATATGACCGCAGATGTATCGGGGATTTAGCCCTTTGTATTTACACAATATAATAATAATATGGATACATAAGTAAATTAAATCAAATCATCCTTAATGCAGTCGACTTTCCTATTTTAATAAATGGTCCTTATAAACAAACTCCTGAAAAGTCTACGGTGTATAATAAATATATAATTAATATACAGTAGATCCCCCTATAAGACTGGTTCCTATAATTACGATTCCTATAAGACGGCGAAAAAATTGCGATTGTATCCGTAAACCACGGTAAAAAAAACTATACGTAAAACGTCATTGGGCAGCCGAACTACTTTCCCGCCGTCCAGCGCCACGCTACGGACAATTTAGGCGGGTAAATTGACTTTAGTTTCGTCTGTACATATACCAGTCGACCCCCCTATAAGATCATTGATTATTCCGTTTTATATGAATTCCATGTTGTACGAGTCACTTAGATTTTACAAATACATGTACCGGGCTGTGAACGGCTCACGTATTTGTAAAATTTAAGTGACTCGTACAACATGGAATTCATATAAAACAGAATAATCAATGATCTTATACGGGGGTCGACTGTAAATAAACTGTGTGAGCATTAATTTTTCTTTTTTCACTTAAACTTTACAAAGAATTACTAATTTATTTTAATTGTTACTTCTTTGCTTAACTTTTTCTAATATTTAAAATAATTAGACTTATTTAAGTGCTTTGAAATAATAGAATTCAATATACTTCACCATTAAAAAAATTTTTACTGTATTAATTTGTTTTGCATGCAAAAATGTCTTCTTTCACGCCTANTACGTCTGTACAGTATGTAAATTAGGTACCGTAAGTCTAATACAGTACTGTAATTTTATACATTTCTTGTGAAAGAAACATTTCTTATTCAACGACGATAAAAATTATTTATATTAATGATGTCTCCAAAGTTCAGCGAATGTTTTCGCAGAAAAATAACATCAGAAATCGCGGCCGCGGTTTGCTGAGCTGTTTCGCGACGAAAACAAGCTTAAGCAACGGCGATGTCGAATGGTGCACACACGGTAAGTAATCCTACAATTTTTTGTTTATAGCGTAGTTTATACGGATTATTTCCAAAAAATTATACGTATTTTGGAAATGTTGAGTCGGATTAGTCTAGAATCGATTAATTTTATGGAAGAAAACCTTTCAAACAGCCGTAGTCCGTAAACTTCACACGTGTCGGGCTGTGATTGGCTGTGATTCCTACAAAATCGAATTCATAAAGAACGGAACGTATTTACCGTATTATAGGGTGATCGACTGTATAAGAAAATTATCTTTACTAGATGCGGTTTTTCCTATTGTATTTGATCTTACTCTTACAGGATGAAAATAAGAGGAAAATGAACTTTTTGCACTTGATCAGGAATAAACAGTTACGCAAGATTACTTTCCTCATGTACATCTTATGGTAAGCACTTTTCATGTGTTTTCGATATATTCTCGTATGAAATAATTTCTCATTTATAAGAGATAATTCTGTGCATTTTTTAAATTTATACGAATAATAAACTGTATTATATCTCTGAAAATTGAATGGTAAATTAAAACTAATAGAACGGTTTCACATTACAAAAATGGAGTGACATATCTCAACCGACTGCCTTCTTTATACTTATCCTAATTATTTAAACACACTACTGAATCTCTTTTACTACTTTCAGGTTAGTAATAATATTTGACCTCTATGCATTATCATTAAATGCAGATATCACAGGAGGAAACATCTTTCTTTTTTTTGTTTTATTTTCCTCATTACAATATTGTGTTTCTGGTGTTTTGACCATTATTTTACCTCGCTTTGGAAGACGACGTATTTTGATGTTTGGACACCTTTTAGTGGGCATCACATCGTTGCTGACAACAGCTGTTTCAGACGGTAAACATAAAATCCATATTGCTAATTATTAGTTTGTTTTAATATTAACCACATGAAATTATAATTCAAAAAGTATATAATTTTGTTTTGAAACGTCTTAGCATTTATGATTTCATCGCGATTCTGAATATTATGGTTTTTTTAAAATAGATCTTATATGGCTGAGGATTGTCTTCGTAGTATTAAGTAGATGCTTCACGACTATTGCAATAAACACAATATATGGATATACTCTAGAATTGTACCCGACTGTAGTTCGTAACGTGGGTATCGGATCGTGTTCTACATTTGCCAGAATCGGATCGATCGCTGCACCTTTTATGAAGGATCTTGTAGGACTTCACACTTATTTTTAACATTGATTAACTTTTTTGTACTACTTTACAATATAATGTTATTGTATTTGTTACAGAGTGAAAAGGTGAACTGGAGCATTCCCTTTATTATAGTAGGTGTATTGACTCTTTCGTCTGTGTTGTGCGTTTTGCCTTTACCGGAGACCAAAGATATTCGTTTGCATGATATTATTGTCAAGTAAGAAATTATTACGGAATATTTTAGTAAATAATTACATTTTATAATATTATTCTCACTTAGTTAATTCACGTAAGATTTATAGAATTGTACTTGAAATAATTTATATAAATATAAGACAATGTGTTGTTAAATGTTTGCAGTAATACAGCAGAAAATGAAGAGGAATAAAAAAAAAACAAAAAAGAATAATGAAATAAATTACTACTTCAAAATGCGGAAATCACTTAATCTTAAAAACATATAATAATTACTGCACGAGAAAGTCTTTATTTTACATGGAAAAGTTATTTATTTATGGCGAGAAGAAATAAATTAGTGTTATTTTATGAATATGTATTTTAGTGGCCAGTAGGTTTGCGAGAAAGGTTTTTTATACAAACAAGATTTGTATAAAAATAATGTAACAAACAAGGTTGTGACGTAGATTTATTTTAAAATATATTTGAAATATGAAAAGAATAATATTGTATTGTATGCTAGAAAAATAAAATATCCGTAAACGATTTTTTTGATTAAAAAATAATGTAAAGGAGCGAATAAATTCAAAAACTTTTTTAAATTTCCCAAAATACAAAATATCGGTCATAAAAATTATTTTATAAATACGTTAATTATATTGGATCACATGTATTAGGCATTTTAATATGCTATTGTTTACGCTAAATACAGTATTTTTTTAATTACAATACACTGATTGGCTAAAGAATAAGTTTCGAACATTCATAGCAATGTCCTGTTACTAGAAAATGGGGCATGCAACTATGTCTCAAGCAAATATGTAAATGGCTAGAATTGTGGATTGATTGTAGTCTAGATAATGCCATCGAAATGCTATAAAATCACCATAAAAAGTATGGCAGAAACAAAGTATTTTCAGAACTTTATGGAACTGCTGTTTGGAGGTCCTGAAACGCTAAGCATATTTGTATGTACAGTACATTACGTCTTTAATGCCATACAGATCTGACGGAGTTTCAAAGGCCACATCATTGAGTCGAAGAAAGCAAAATGGCAGTTTCCCCGAACTCATGTCATCTGGACTGTTTTGTGAGCAGGGTTAAGGTCAGTGAATACGCAAGAGCATACATAGATTTTGGACTGGTTTTGCATGCCGCAACAAACCACCGGGAAGACAACACAGAGGTAGCCTGCCAAGGGAAAGATGCTTCTCTGGGGGAGTTTTATTAGAAACTGTGTTTTATATTATATACGCGAAGAAACCTGGGAAATTCCACACGGCCAGCCCGTTGACGATACGAGAAACGACCGTGTTCAAGTGTGAAATGGCTTATCTACTTGGCTATTAAGGGCTGATCGTGAACAGCTGCAACGCGGAAGACATTTCACTGTTTATCTCCTTCAAATTTTACACTCGAGCAATGCGGAGCAACATACGTCAATAAACAGCTTCTGCATAAGATTATTTACTGATGTATGATATTTACGTAACTTGTGTTTTCTTCTATTCTTTACTGTATGTTCGACTACAGGCTGAACCCTCACAAAAATAATGCAAGAAACATCATCGACCAAAATATATGTTAAGAGAAATATTGTTTTGAAGTAAAATGCGTTCGATGAATAAAATATCGTGAGAAAACAGATCGGAAATTAAACCAATTTCAACATCGATCGCGAAAACACAAAGATAGTATGTATAATAAAATCAATTGTCACGCGCGTGGGTGAAAACGGGGAAATTTACGACGCTTGACTATGAATTAAACGCGGATTCGCGACAGAATTTAATAAACAATTACGGCAGATGTCCGAATTCTGCCTCGATTGGCCCTGGCACTAACTGGGGACCAATCGGATCGGTCGAGGATGGAGATCACGACCAACCAGAGCACCGATCAGGGATGCAAAACCTGTAAGAGGCTCAACTTCAAGGACAAGAGGGCTTTTTTCGTTTGTTTCGTGTACAAGGGTACCCAATTTTTCTTTGCCTCACCAGACTAGAGATTTCCCACAGACAGGAGAAGGAGATTCTGAAATACAAGAACTCTCCGGCTGGGAGAGAGAAGCCTTTATCCGGAATACGAAAGAACACCGAGACACCGAGGTAGAGCAACCGACTGGGAAACTTCCATCGCCAACATTGTAGCTTGTCCGGACACTACGCGTCGGATTAGTTTAAGTCCCAAAGGAGATCTCCTGTGTTGTGTAAGATGTTTTTGGTATATTAATTATATTTTACCAAAATTGTCGCTGATAATCGGGAAAACACGATGTCGACAATCGAAACTAAACTTGTAAATCTAAACGAAGAGTTGTGTTTGCTATGCTTTCTGTCACTGACTAATTTAGACCTTCGCGGGCACAAGGCAAAATAATATTTACGGGCTCCTTTACAAATTTTGTATTACTACAAATATAAAATATAAATAAAATTGTAATATTTAAAATTAAAGTATTTTTATTTTTACATTTGAATATCTTACTTACATTGTATTTTTGGGGCTACAATAAAATTGTGCAGCAATAAATATTATATTTTTCTCTACAAACACTGTTTTATTCTGAACTGTACCGAACAGATCTAATGCGCATATACAAACGTTATCTAATTTTTAGTGATGTTGTTAGATGTGGGAACAGTAGGTAATGTTATTCTTAATTATTAACGCTTGAATATGGCTCTAATAATGTAGTAATTCGCAATACTAATAAAACAATGTCACGTTTAGAACCTATTACGGGCCCCGGGCAAATGCCTTGCCTGCCTTGTGCCAAATTAGGTTCTGCTTTCTGTATTCATTCACGTCAATATCGGTTACATACGGATGGAATTTTTACAATACTTGTCCTGCGTCATAAACAGCGACAGTTACTTACGCAAAATTTTCATGAAATTTTACGTTTTCTTCATCGAATGTTTATTCTGGGAAGATTTCTTCTTCACTTTTTCTATGCTAATTCTTCACGCATCTGATAAAATACCTTGCATTTCTTGGTATTCTATTGCCGAAAACGATACCTTTGTATAAGTATCGATTCCTTTTTCTGCTCTGATGTTTGCCTTGATATTCAGCGTGGTCAAAAGATTCAAACTGAATCCAACAATCAAATTGAGAAAACCTCTTTGCTTCTGCCAAGATAGGCTACTCGCTATTGTGAGACCCGAAAGGCCCCTGGGTCTAAATTAATATTTTATTAATAATGTCAAAATAATGTCACCAAATATTACTTCATTTTTGGTGAGAAAAATACTGTTTTAACGTGGGAAAAGGCAGATAACAGATGTTACTTCCTTTCACAGAAGAGTACATCCTCTGACTTTTCCTTATCTGGTTAAAATCCTGCTCAGATGGGAAATGGTTACCCCTCATTCATTCCCCTTTCATCCGTTCTCATGAAAGAGTTACTGCCTGATGATTGGTCGGTATTCCGAAGATATACAGGGAACTTGTCAGAATTCGAGGAGTTCAGCGACAGATCCGAAAGCGTCCAAACTCCACATACGTTTCCCTCCTGATGACCAACGTCCTTAGACGAGTCACATACAGAATAAGTCTATAGTCTGCACATAGTAGTGATACCTTTATATTTGTGCACATAGTGATTTCCCATACGAAGAAGTAAATGAACTTTATCTCCAAAGTGTCCCTTGCATACAGAGAAGAAGACGAACGACAACTGAAACAGGTCGTATGTTTTATAACGATTTTTGTGAGCTCTCTCTCGATCGCGAATAGTGTAGAAGATAAGTATAGCTATCTCTCGATTTGTATATTATTTGTGGTATTTCTATCTCTCGTTCATTGAGATTTTTGTATGATTTATTTTCTTGTTTTATTAAATTTATTATTCCGTTTTTTTATTAAATGTCTCCTAATATGAATCGTAATAAGTATACTTCACGCGTGTTAATCCGCGTGTTATAAGATTGATTAACTGGTGTCGGGACCCTGACAATTTGGGATAAAGACTTCACAGTCTTGAATTCCCTATTCCTAAATATTACCGCCCTCCTATAAAAAGTTCCGAGAGCCGATCTCACGATCGTGCGCCAGTAAGTGATATAGGTAATTTACTTATACCCTTGGCTATTCTCACACTATTATCAATCACACACGTAATAACACAGTGATAAACACCGTAAATATCAATGTCTTGTTTCAATGCATCAACGTTTTTGTCGTCTTTCCCGTTTTGGAAAAAGAAAAATTGTATAAATACGAAGGTCTTTTCTGCTGCGTTGAATTTGGAATCTAAACCATTTCGCTTGTTGGTAACATCATGTTTCTGTTTTCCTTTCTCTTCTTGCTTATCCTTACTTTTACAAGTATTTTCAAGAAAATATCCGAAGATTTGTAACGATTGAAGAAGAATAATCCGAATTTAAGTTCTGAATTAGAAGAAATAATGGCACAACACAATGAAGTTTGGAATTGTTTCAATCAACTAAACGGCCCGTTTAATTACGTACTATCAATCTTCTATGGCACTTTGTTAATGCAGATCGGCGTACTTTACTTTAATTCCATCTTTGCGAACATGCCTTTTGAGTTGAAAGTGGGTTCTTGGGTACTCTTTGTTGTAATCGCCTTAAGGAGTATATTAATAGCATTTCTGCTCTCCGCATTCACATCCAGTGAAATGAACATTAATACTACGAAAAGTATTAATGTTTATTTCATTTCTGCAGATTGAAAAATAATATATTTACTTTCTTCTTTCAGATGCAGACGTCTTTTCAAGACATCAGAAGATTCGCTGGCTGCAACTTGATTTTAGAACAGAAATTGAAGGTTTAATATTTTAGTTTAACATTCTCTGGTTTATCTTGAGTTATCAGACGAGAATAGAAGTAATTTGTTGCGTAGATTTTGAATTTCATGAAGAGATTCGGTAAAGAATCCCTTTGCTTGTCAATGAACGATTTCTTTAATGTTACTAAAAAGTTTCCGATAAAAGTAAGTTATTTAATTGAATTTTGCAATATTGTAATTGGTATGAATTAAATGCGCATTAATAATTTTTCAAATATTTTAGATGGCGAGTTCTTTGTATTCCGTGTTTTCTGGTCTTTCGGATCTGAAGGATGCAACAAAAAATCGATATTGATTATAAAGAATTTCAGTGTAAATTTAAGTATTTACATATATTCGGAAGCATTTATTAGGTACATTCTCTCTTTCGTTAATTGATATGAAAGTAAGATT